AGAGAGAGAGAGAGAGAGAGAGAGAGACTTTGGCAGAAACTATAAACCCTCTTTGCTACTATGTAATATGCCTTCTTTATCTGCATACACACAGTGTGAAAGTGAGATTTAATGCAGCGTAAATCAAGCAGCACAATTTAAAATGCTAAGCACACTTGCAGTGCTGTCTGAAACGGATTCAACGCAATTCCTCTCCAACATGCCGCGATGACCACTGCAATGCAATCAGCGGTTGGTTTGTGTGTGTGTGTGTACTGTAGCCCCCACAAATAGGTTAAAGGGCCCATTAGGTTTGGGTGGTGACCACATTTTTCATACCTTCAGACCATCTCTAAATATTACCACAGTATTAGCAGGTTGAGAGGGGGTGTTTGTTGTGAAAGCAACTTAAAAGCATTCACATCACTTTTGTGCCATTACATCCTGCTATTTTAACACTGAAAACAAACAAAACTCAAAATTCAGTTTCCTTACACGGTCACCAAGTAAATGAATGCAGTGCACAATTTTCAATCCATCATTCAATAATTATCAAACCATCTATCTAACACCAGTTGCTAAAAAAGTGCTACTAACTAGGATAGAACAGCTGGTTAGCATTAGCTTGGCTAGCATGATAACAGCTCTGCTCGCCACAGAACAGGTTCAATTCTGGCTAACCAAAGCTACAGTGACACTGAAGTTTAGATGATATTGACTCAAATCTGAAGGAGCAATGTTGAGCAACTACTGTTGTAGCGATAGAAAGCCAGGCAAAAAACCTGTGCTGTGGTATTTGTATCCGTAGCCTGGTAGCTAACCTAATGTTAGCTTAGCAATCAGGCTACAGACCCAAACAGTGCCACTCTCCACAGTACAGGTCCGATTCTAAACAGCTGGTACTCTGCTGAAACAAGTGTAGATGACAAAATCGCATGTCTTCGAGAGCAAAGTCAAGCGACTGGTGACAACGCCAAAATCAAACCTGTTCAGTGGCGTTTATAGCTGCAGCATGTTTACTAACCTACGTTAGCCTAGATAGCAGGCCAAAGGTGCCACACACCTCAGTACAAGCTGAATGTCGTTAAACGTATAAATATTTAGAAAATAAAGACAAATTGGTGAGAACGCAAAGTCCAGTGACTGATGTCAGAATAATAGCCAAAATCAAACGTGTTTTGTGGTGCATTCGTTCATAGCTTTAGACATCAATGTCTAAGTGTATTTTTTTATTTTTTTCCCTGAGGTTCACTTATGATGTTTGTGCAGGTTTATGTACCAAAAACAATCACAATTATTTTTACACAATAATTTTCTAACTCTCTTTATTCCTTAGAATAAAACAGGCTGTTTTTGTAACTGTGCTAAATGATCTCTGTTCTGATTGGCTGTATTGTCGCTCAGTCAAAAAGCAGTCCAGGCTGAAACAGTCTTTATAACTTCAACTTTATAACTGGGCGGGGCTAAACTACTATAGGCTGAATAGGCAGATATATGTAAATGCGATGGACTCAACATCACAAAAACAATGAATGAACAAGCTGTTTCTGCAGCATAGTTTTCATATATGAACCGTAATGACTGGGGAAACTTTAACCATGTTTACATACTACATCAAGCTCTTATTTAAAAAAAGCAAGGAAAACTGGGGTTTCTATGATACGGGCCCTTTAAAAACCAAGCTCCTATTTGCACTTTCAAAATAACACATTCATTTTAATTACAAAATCACTGGTGGGGCTCTTTCTCAATTGAGAATGTTAGAAATGATAAATATGCAACCAACCACTTTAACCACCACCATGACCTCGTGTTCCATCTCTTGTTTACTCCACTCAGCCTAAAGCATGTTCAGGGTAAGTCATATGTTCTCAATTGGGCTAATCCTGAATGACTGACTTTTGAACCTCCCTCAGGGGGAGCTCCACTCTGCTCTCAAAAAAGCACAATGAACTTGAGATAACTCCAAAAACACTCATGGCTCAGAGGGATTGTTTTAGATGGGATGTGAGTGTCAGCACTGTTTTAGAGAGATGAGTGTGTTACGCTTGTACTGGTGTGAATAAGCTAACAGGTCTTCATACAGATATTACACCCTTGATGGCTGTACATGGTGAACATGAAAAACAACTCATTTTTAACAGGTGGTAGTGACTCAAAAGCAAAAGCTGTGGACCAAATCTTATACTGTCTAGTGATTAATCTCACGAGGCATTCGGCACTAAGCATACTGAACACCCTTCCGTGCACTATATTCAGCACTAACAAAGAAAACCAGAGATGCAAGTAGGAGTCAATATTGCCTATAACCACATTTTTGCCACACAAATGTAGATTTTTGGCCCTAGTGAACACTTGCTTTGGAGATTTTTTAGAGCTTAAAATAATGTTAAATAAATCATTATTAAAATAATTAATTGTGATTAATCACATTCTTTTGTGAAGTTAATCGTGATTAATTGCATGACTTATTGGCTCAAATTTGACCTTTTTTTGACCGTTTTCATCACTAAAGTCCAGTGAGAGGAACAGTGGCTAGATGCTGTAACTCCTCCGTGTCTAAGGGGAACTACAGCTTTCTGAAATTAATGATATTCCTGTACATACAGTGTACAAACAGCTTGGTTTCAGGGTGGAACTACAGCTGGTTTGACGTAGGAAAACTAGGAACTAAAAATTTAGGCAATAATAATTTATTGCATTAACACGCTAACTTTCTCCTTTACAAATCACTAGACCAGTTCAATTTTCACTCATTTAAATATCCAGCATTAAAAACAAAACAGCATCTAGCAACTTTCACCCTCCCACATGAGATCCAGATAATTCTGGCCTCAAATTCCTAATTTTGGCCATGTGATTCATTGGCTTGCTTGTCCAGTGCAAATTTTTATATCTGTCTACTCCTACGTGCAAGTGCTGTAACTCGCTCCACTTTATGGGATACTATGACTTTAGCAGTTTCAAATCAGTAGTGATGTATTCATCACACTGGTCAGACGGTCCATTAAGCTGTCTAAGCTTGGTTAACAATAAGTTAACCAAGAGATGGTGACATCACTCACAGTGACTGAAAGATAGTCCTGCTAATTCACATGAGCTCATTCTGACCAGCAACAGTGGCTTTCATTCATAGTTATCCACACTGTCTAACACTATCAAAACAAACGCATCAACAGCATTACATTCTGAGACTCTGGCTTTGTCTCCTTTAACACCTTTAAACCGCTAGATGAGCTACGACATGTGCACGTCCACACTGGCTGCGGTAAAATATGTAACGCAAAACTGGAGCTTCTGTGTGCTCACGTTTTCTATCGTTATATAAAAGAAGCACAGTGCTGCCTTTACTGTCGGATGCACTGCAATGTCTTTCACAGTTCACTCTGGTAAGCACTTATTATCGACTAAGTTTATAACAGTAACAATAAAATGCTAAAGCTCTGCAACCAATGATGATGTGCAAAATCGATGAATCAGTTCCTTATGGCTTTGAGAAATCAATTAATCAGGAAAAGAAAAACTGCAGCTAGTAGTCTGTCAGTAACCACAATGACTAAATATTCCAAATACAAGGAATAATTCCTGTTTTGCCCAATGCTCTAACACCCTAAACCCTATAACATCATATCTGCATTTGATTTTTTTTTGCACAAGCAGGAAGCCAAAACAGTATGTTTTGAAAGTATGCTTTCAAAAATATAGATGAGCAGATCTGTAAGCATAACATGCAGTTTTTACCTTTTCGCTACAGTTTACTGTGTTTCACTCACCACGCTGAGCCTTTATCATTTTCTGTCAGGAATGTGTTTCTCTCACGCATGATATCCGCGCTGCTGTTAAAGGCGAGCTCAGTCTTACAGATCTTTTCATCTCATCTATTTAGATGAGAAGTGTTTTGCTGTTTTCACTTGTTGTGTATAACAGTGCACTGTTGTCTCTGCCATCTGTGTTTTCCCATTATTCAGTCAAGTGATGGGAGTGCGAATGTTATCAAGCCCACTAATCAAAAACAAGATTCACTGCCAATGATTTTTTTGTCGTTGATGTCAAATAGTTTTTGACCAATGTTTCAGCCTTAGCATTGCATTTATTGTACTCCAAAAGAGCTGAATGTTTAGCTAATGCTGGGTTACTGTGCAAAAATGTCAGCATTTTATTCATTTTACTGCATTTACAACTATATACAAGAAAAAAAAGCCCATGTTTCCATGTAATAGTAATCTAGGTAGATCATTCCTATATTTTAGAAACATTTATGTATCGGTATCAGCAGATATGTAAATGAAAAATATCGCCCCAGAATTCCCGTCACATTGCATCTCCAATAAAAACACACTTTCAGCTTTGTTATATCATCTTTACATCAAATAAATGCGACAATAGCTTTGAAAGACCACATTTGAAAGATCACACTAATGGAGAAGAGAGGATTCAATGGCAGAAACAGCTGCTTTTTTTGAACTGGACTTGGTTATTAATCTTAAGACTTGAAAGACTATGAATCTATTACATTTTAAAGCTATGAAACTAATATGTAAGCTATAAGGAAGTTATGAGAGTGAAGAACCTGAATCCATAAAAAGGTCCCCGAGAGTTTAACCCCTTAAAATCCCAGGCTTTTTACATACTAAGACTTATTATTCAGTAAATACAGGGACTTGAAGGCAAACTGGCTGAGCTGTTCTTAGGTTATAGAAGTGTGTAATAAGACACAGTCCCTGGCCATTTAAGAGCTTAAGGGGTAAATCTTTGGAAATATTATGAGTGATTAACAACATTCTACTATCATTTATTCATCGCCACTGTGTATCACCCTTCTATCATAAGTTCTGCTGATGAGCAGAAGAGCAACAGCCTTTTCAACTAGGATGGAGAAAACCCCTAGAATTCACAATCAAGCTGATTACTCATTCTACTCATTTTATGTCATTAGCTTACACTAGCACTAGTGTAAGCAATTGTATTAGTATTACAGCGAGTTAGTAACAACAAAATTAGCAGTAATAGCGTTATATTACTGTTGACGATAGAGATGTCTCGGCCTTTGTAGTACTCAGCCAGGGTGACGGAGGATCCTTGCCCGGAGGCGACGATGCGAACCGTTCGACTGTTGTCGGCACAGTCCAGGTTGGAGATGGCACCCGGTTCAGAGCCCCTCAGCCCCGCGTTCTCAGGGAAGCTGAAGGCATCTCGGGTGCGGTCCCGGCAGTAGGACTTGTACCACCACTGCACCACGGGCGCCTGAGTGGAGACGCTGGAATACTGGCAGGGCAGAAGCACAGACTGGAAAAGCAAGGCGAACCTGCGCTCATCCCGCACTGTCACCTGCACCGCCTCGCACCACAACACCCCTGAGACACAGAACAAGAGAGAAAGAGATTAAGACAAGAGAGAAAAGCCAAGCGGGCTCCAGAATGCAGAAACTGAGATTGCAAGTTTGATCTCCAGTGATGCCACAGCCATCCGTGCCCGGGAATCCAGAAGAGAACATGTGCTGGTAATAAAGTCCTCCTATTAGGACAACCATGTAGAAAATAACAAGGGAAAGCAGCTAAAGATTTGGGAGAGATTTTGAGATGGACCCTAACAAAGAAGGGGCCTCAGAAGCAAAGAAAGCGAAGGAATGTGAGTTGAACCTTAATCTTTGTCAAATAAAAGAACATAATAGAAGTGTAGTACAGTAAAGGTTTACTGTCACCTTTAATTTGGTCACAGAAGTGATTAATATAGTAAGAAAGAACGGCATTGCGAATGTCTCACAGCCAGCATAGCTCAACAGTCATTGAGCTCAACAGATGTATTTCTAGAACATCTTATCTATGCAATAAATGTGGTATTAATGTTGGATATGACATCACCCAGCATGTCTAAAAGTCCAGCTATGTTATGTGTGGAAAAACTTGTGTCTTGCTTTAGTATGTAATAAATGAATGACCTTTTTTTAACTCTGTGGTAAATTAGTTTTTATTGTCACTTGGGGCTGTTGCCACGGTAACCCAATTAACTATCACTGGGCACAAGACTACTCAGTGCAATGCTAGCCAACATGGGTATCTGTCAGACGAAACAGAATAGGGAGTTAGTGTTCTCCTCCAAGCATGCTGAGCTGTAACAATGCGTTAGCAGCAACTTAAAAGGATGATGCTACCAAGCTGGAGGGGTGAAGGGCTTGGTAGCTTCATGTGTGATGGGGAGACCTAACTAACTGGCAAGTGACTAAACTGGTGAGAAACTTGAGTAAAAATAAAACAAATTTAAAACATTAAAAAAATCTAAAAACAAAGGAAAAGAAAAGAAAATGAAAAGAGATGTTCTGAAATTGAAATTTGAAAATCAATTAAATAGGGGATGTACAGTCATATGCAAATGTTTGGGAACCCCTGGTCCAATGACACGTTTTATTGACATTTTTACATGAAAATACGTTTACACAACCTCTACAGAAAACAAACTCACATTTTAATGCATACTCACTGTTTATTTGCAGAATTAGCACATTGGAAGAAAAAAACAATAAAACATAAAATGTGGCCTGTGGCAAAGTTATGGCACATTTTACATTTTATGTTTTTTTCCAATATGTTAAACAGAAATTGTGCCATATTTAAGTTCCCTGTAGATGACTGTTAACTTTCTTTCAGTTAGAAAATCAACAACATGTAATTTGACCATGGGGTGTTCAAACCTTTGCATAAAACTGTGCGCAACAGGTCAAAAGTTTGAAGCAATTTCAACTTTGACTTGAAAATGTTACTTTTTTTTTTCACAGAGTTACTCACTGACCATAATCACTGTTACTGTCTCTTTCTGGCCTTTAATGATCCTCCTCACCTCTCTTACTCACTGTCTGATAAAGCTATAGAACCTCTACTTTACCGCTCTGCTCCTCAGCCTCCCCTCTGTTATCATTAGCCGGAGGACGATGATGCAGCAAATTACAGCACTGCTGAGAAGTGCTTATTATCACAGCGCTCTCGAACCGTCCGCACTCAGAAACATCTCATTAGCCTGAAAAACTGCGGTTGGCTGCCCGAGGTTAAGAGCTGTTGATTTCTTCAGCGCATAAATCTTTAAATATCATAGATGGGCATAAGAACACTGCATAACTCTCCATAAACACACACATCACAGTACTGGCCTTTGCATTAGACCTCTGAAGTTGGTGTCACCTTCATATATTAGTAACTTTGAACTTTCCTAAAAATTGCCTCCTGTGGTAAACAAAAATGCTCCAAACATTATACGTTCTGTCCTATGTACATTTTTCCATATTGTGTCACTGGATCAGAGTCTGTGAGTGGAGTGGACTGGAGTGGCAGATATTTCCACTCATCACTCAAAACGTTTTGTAATCACTCTGCTCCGGGTTTTCCAGTACCCTGCTCACAGATCAGAGAACACCCACACCATAAGACTAATTCCTATGACGTTTAACCCAATTACAAGGCAGAAAATTGCCAACAGTGAACAATTGCCTGTACCTTTAACACAACCATATTTATCATTCACACAGCACTAATAGTTTGTAATATCTGTAGAACTTTGTTGTGACCAGTGATAATTTCCAGTGCAGATGTACTGAACAGTTTCTCAGCGTAAACGCTGTGTACGAATGGACAAAATCACACTGCTCCACTTCTTACTCCGCTCCCACTCCGCACCGCTCACACAATCCGCACTGGATCCTCAGAATTACAAGGTGGTCAAAATACATACATGCTACAAGCAGTCTAAGGCTCCTGTGCACTGAAATGATATCACATGAAACTAAGTCTACACTGTCAAAAATTGCAGCTTTTTAACCCAGTTAACTTGAAATGTCAAGTTCATTGAACTTAAAATAATAAGAAGTGTGAAACATAAATTATTCAGTTGTTACTGTTTCTCGGCCCAGCTGACAACAGCTAGAGTGTTTGGCCTTGTCAGTGATACAGCCGAGTCAAGCTGGCCGTGCCCTCTCATTCACATCCTTAATTAGAGTAGGAATGTGTAGAGGGGGAAGTGTAATGTACTATACATACTTGCGAATACGAGTAAACGCACCACATCTTACAGTCCTGTTAAACACAAAATTGCCATTTCAATACATTCCTGTATATTTTCTCTAGCAAATACCTCAATAGTAATTTCAGTATTTGAATGCTGGCATCTCAAGCGGTTATAAGAGTATTCGAGTGCCCATACACATCCCTAGCATGTATCAGTATTCATATTTCGGCTCCTTAACAGCCTCTTAATACAAAAGAACCGGCAAAACAAAGAGCACGGCCAAACGTATCATTTAGAACACAGAGGTGGAGTTCTTAATATAGCACCGGCTACAGAACAACGAACTTCAGAGGTCTATATATGTAGCAATATAACCGTAATTGGGTATTTTGTCCATATTGTGATGCCTTACACACACCCCACTGGGCTACTGTGCTTCTGATTGTCTAATAATCCTTCTCTCATGGTGGGGGGGCTTAGAAAAACACACACGCCTAAAAACATCTGGGCTGGAAAGTCCAGTTCATGTGCGAGTGATGAACAGATATTCCTTCAACACGGGAGTGCATTAAGCTCTATCTGTCCTACATACAGAACTACGAGAGTACAGACTACACATGATCCAAAAGCACTTCCACTTGAATAAAATGTATTGCCAAAAGTAAGCAAACACATAAACAAGGTAATAACAAAGTAATACATTTTCTCCAAATTTGTTTTTCAGCATATTTGTGACTTTACAGGATCAGATGATCTGCTACAAGCAGACAGTGCACAAGATAACAGTTTAATGTACCAAAAAGAAACATAATTTAAAGAAGAATTCCAATCATTTTTTAAAATTTCTGCATAATTCAATCTTTGAGATGTAAACAAAGTCACTCAGAGTGGTTTGATGTGAAATGGTTAATTCTAGAGAAACTGACAGAATCAGATTTCTATACAGTGGTGGATTTAAGAACAAGGGGTTATGATGACTGCAACACAAATACAGCCATTTTATTCACTATCCAAAACCACTAGTGAAAGCTACACGTGCCTTCTGAGCTTTTATATGTAATGTTGATGATGGTAAAATGGTCAAGTCAAAGTTTATTTATCAGCATTTTTCTACTGACTCAGATTTCTTATGTTTATAGTGTTGTAAACTACCTCATACAACTTAGGACAACACCTGCTCTCATGTAAATACAACAAATCCATCTTATAAGCTATGTAACTTAGATACTTATATATCTACTCTCTCACGCCTTACTCTAACTTATGTATTTCTGCCTAATTTATGCCTATTTTTATTTCTGCCTAATATCTGTATGTTTCTGTGCAATTATACGTCTTGCTACTGTAACACTGCAATTTCCCTGCCGGATCAATAAAGTTATCTTTCGATCTTCTTCTAATAGTCGTGAATTTTAAAGCTTATGTTTTTCTTTGGGGTCTATGTTGCCTTATCACACTGCATTTACCCCTCTGCCACAGATGGATTAAAAAAATATACACACTTTTTAGGCCTAAACATTTTCAAAATGTACAGAAAACAATCTCTCATGAATCAGACAGCATATTGTTAAATGTTTAATGTAATAACTTTCTGAGATGTTGCTTTTAGAGACATTAAACTCTTCAGACGTCTGGTTCCCATCACCTCCACTGTGAACAATCCCAACTCTGTAATTTTCTCTAGAACGGAGCACTTCACACCAAAACACTCTGAATTACATCTAACCACTGAATTATGCAGACATTTTGAAAAACTGATGGAATTTAATGACTGAGAAAGGACCTGTGTTATTCAAAGATCTAGCAGAACACGCAACAGGAGACAGAACAAACAATATGACGGGAGTGAAACAAGAAGTCATCCTCTTCTTTCCTTCCTCACGTGGGAGTTCCTCTTTCAGGGGCGTGGCACAACTGAGCTTCCACGAAAAATTCTTTGGAAGTATTTTTCGGAAAAACACTCAGCAGCAGCGAGAGCCAGAAGGTCCTGCTCTGTTTATTACTTCTGTAGGAGGAACTTCAGGAGTGGAGCCCTGACAGGAATTTAAATAAAGTCCCTGCTGCAAAGGCCTTTAGGTGAAGAAGTGAGGAATGTTATTAGTTCCAGGGTTTTTACAGGAACAGAAAGGCAGACTGGAGTGGAGAAATCTCCCACAGACAGAGATACAGGAGAACTGCATTCCAAACCTGGTTTTATTATGTCACGCTAGTTAGGCTGAAAGAGAAAAGTAGAGGACGGCAGATGAGGAGATCATGTCTAGTGAACTAAAGTGAAGGGAGAGGTCAGGTGTAACTGCAGGCTCAGCTGTTTCACACTGATGGTGGGTGTGTGTGGAGCTTAGTCAGCTGCGCTTAAAGTGAACGGCACAAGACTTCTGTATCTGTAAGTCGAATTTCAACCTCAGTTCTTGGTCCATTTGTTAATAAAGGACTTGAATGTGAACTAATTTGCACTGTAGAGAAATGCACCACCTCAGACACTGTGGTGATGATAGCCAGATGGCCAGAGCTTGTGATGTCAACAACGCAAATGAACTTACATGTGTCTTCTTAATTTTTATCTGTAATAATGAAGAGGATAAAACAGTGGTAAATCTGGGAAAAAAGGTTTTCTTTGGCCTCAATGTGCACTACTTTAACTATTTTGCTATACAGCACCCTGCATGTAACACCCCCACCTTCATTGTATTTTTGAAAAATACATTTTAGACCAAAGCCTTTTCTCAAAACTACCATAAAACAATGTCTCAGATATCATGTACACAACCATTTCCTGTAATAACTTTTTGTGAGGTAGGTTATAAAGGCATTACACTTTTCAGACGCCTGGTTCCTATCACCACCACTGTTAACAATTCTGACTGTGAGTTTCTCTAAAACAGAGCATCTCATGTTAAACCACTCTGAATCACTTTGTTTACATCTTAAAGGTTTATATAAAATGAAACACAGAAATTTAGAAAAATTATTGGAATCAGCACAATTAAGTCATTAATTAGCATAATTAAGTAATTAAGATGTAAACAAAGTCATTCAGAATGGTTTGACATGAAATGCTCTGTTCCAGAGAAGCCTCCCTAGTCAGGAGTGTTCACAGTGGTGCTGATAGGAACCAGACGTCTGAAAAGTGTAATACCTCTAAAAACTAAATCACCAAACACTATTACATGAAATGAAATGGCTAAGAATATGTGCCTGATTTTTGAGATAAGGTTTTGGCCTCAAATGTATCTTTTAAAAGCCATTCATGGTGGCGAGGTACGTGCAGGGCGTTATAAGGCACGATAGTTCCCATAAGAAAACATATTTTTTCTGATTTACTACTGTTTTATCATTATAAACATTACCTATAAAATATGGATAGAAAATGAATGAATGAACGTGTTTGTGTTGTAGACATTGTGACCTCTGGTTCCTATCACGTCTACTGAAAAGAAGCTCTGTAAGTTTTTCTACAATGAACCACTTCACATCAAATCACTCCGAATGACTCTGTTTACATCTGAACCACTGGATTATGCAGAAACTTTGGAAAATCGGCGGAAATCCCCTTTAAACTCTTCAGTCGGTGTTTGAATTACTGGACTAACATAGTAACGTTTAGGGTAAAGACTAGCAGAGGAGGATAAGTAGTTACATGTACTCATTTAAGTTAAATGTAATGTGGGGATTTGTACTTTCCGGAGTATTTTCAAATCACTGCCCCTAATTATTATTATTATTATTTTATTTATTTATTTATTCATTTATTTTTGTAAATATAAGTTACTTTTATTTGGGGTTTTTTACAGAAGCAACAGTATTTTCACCTCTTTTCGGGTTTAGGCTACTGTGCCCACCTCTGGATATCAGTAAAGAGAGGAAACAAAGCCAAGAACAACACAAACACTGAGCCAGGCTGCGGCGAACACTCTTTCTAAGACTCTTTCACAAACTGCTTCAACATCGTCTTCGACTTAGTACCAGACTAGGTGTCCACAGCTGGGAAGAAACTAAATTATTCGTTTTTTTAGCCCTGAAAACAACACCGTCTTGAGTGTGGAGTCCAGAGCTCAACCTGCCGCTGAGAGGAACAACCTGCTGTCCGTTAGAGCTGATCAGTCCTGAGGCGGCTGGAAAACTGCATGGAGAAGTTCATTACCTGAGAGGAACATCAGCGCAGTCCACCATCTCAGGAGCGGAGGCATTTTAGGACTCGGCGCCTTAGAATCCGAGTAAAAGTTGAGGGCATTTTCCTCTTTCCTTCTTCGCCTCATTCTCCAGCTCCGTTATCGCTCTCAGGGCAGAGAGAGGCTGAGTGAGTAACGGGACTGAACCGCCTCTGAAGGAGGAGTGACGCCAGCACTCCTCCACTCTCACTCCGCTCACTCGGCTCCGTCACAAACGGCTCCCTACTGGACACGGAGGGCACTGTGGGGCTGTGGGGGCCGTTACAGCGTGACCTATCGAGTGTGCACTATATAGGGCGTAGGAATGCGTTTGGGACTCGGCCTCAATCAGCCTGCAGGCCCTAACCGTGTTAATCAGTGACTGACTGTAATGGATGTGCAAATAACTCCAGTCATTGTAGGCTAGTTTTTTTTGTCAACTACTCGGTCTGATTCTTCTCTTCCACCTTTTTTTTCGTACTCTTAACTAACGCTAAACATTTGAAACACATCATCCTCAGTGGACCATTAAAGTGAAAATCAGATTTTTCAAACTTTCTGCATACAGCAAGTGAGATATAAAGTCATTCAGAATGTTTTTCATATATAAAAATTACCAACTTTCTTTACAGTGGCGGAGGAACCAGGGCGATATTTACAACGTCATTTTATAGCCTTTTAATTTGCTATCTAGAATAATCAGTGAACCTTCATGTGTCTTACATGTAAGGGTGATAAATGTAATAGTGGTAAATCTGAAAAAAAAAAAACCAAGTTTTCCTTGGGAACTATTTTGTCTCAAAACACCCTGCATGTATCCCTCCACCATTAATGTAGCCTATTTAAAAAAAATGCATTTTAGGCCAAAAGCTTATCTCAAAACTATCATATTATGAATGTCTCAAAAAATTGGCAACATATTTGTCGTCAGTTATTGTGATAACTTTATGTGAGGGAGCTTTTAGAGGCATTATGAACTTTTTGGACGTCTGGTTCCCCATCAACATCACTGTAAACACCGAACACCAAATCGAACCGTGTATTTTACACCGAACCGCTCTTAGTGACTTTGTTTACATTTTACGTCTTAACTAACTAACTAACAGAAAGTAAAGGAGGAAAAAGAAAAAACGAATAGGGGTAGCTAGATAAGTGTAACCGTCATATTAATTATAGTGTTATTTCATTACGTGTGTTGTCCTGTTTGTTGGAGCGAGTGCTCGTTTGCGTTCGTTAGCATTAGCATTAGTTAATATTAGCAACAAAGAAATCATGAGGAAGCTCAGCCGTCCCTTTGAGTGTGACTGCATTGGTTCACAGCAGCCTGAGTGAATTAGGGGAGGTTTGGGCAGGACTTTTTATTTTTTATTTTTGTGCTAAATAATTTTAATACTAAAATATGTTTCTTATGCAGTGTCACGTAGACATATGTAATACAGTTTCAAATATCCCTACAGAGGCAATACCATTTACTTCATGTTAAAGTGAAAACAAGGGGGGTTCTTAGTTTACACATTTTTGAGTAGCTAAAGATTATATGATCCGACGAAAATTTGTAGATTACATGAAATTTATAGACAGTACTGTGGCATCAGCTGAGAATAAGTACATAGCGTTTTAAGGAAATGCTCATTAACTGAACATGCCACAGAGAAGAACCACCATTCAGCACTGCTGAAGCGGTTGAGATAGCAGGCAGGAGGCACTAACACTGCACTAACTACCCCACAGCCCAGCTCAGAATAGCACAACAAGGTGCGAATCTTTAAGCCAGCAACAACTTCATTAACGTACGTTATATGTCTCTACTGGTGCTTTCCAAGAGCCCCCTCGCACAGCCGCTCTGCGTGGCCACGCCTACTGCACACGAGGGGGATGAGACAGTGTAAATAAGTAGCTTGACAAATAAATACAGCAGACTAATGTAATTACTGTGGTCATAATTCATTGAAAAGGAATCTTTATTAATCAGTTAACCAAAGTTTTCATTCTGGAGCAGGTGGATATGTTATTTAGCTGGAAGTTGGCTTCTTATGCAAATTTTTCGTTCCACCTTAAACGATGTAGCAGATGCGCTGGCCGAGTGTAACTGCAGCACCATTCAAGGTTAACAGAAAATTTGAATAAGACATGGGAGAATAAGAAGCCAGCTTCAGCTTCATCCTCTTTGCATTGTTTATTTTTGTTTTCCTTGTGCCGTTTCTAATCGCTGTTTATTGCAACCCTGAAACGCAGAGTTGGGCTGCAGGGCGGTGCAGTGTACAGGCAGACATATCGAGCACATTTTGTGAGCTGAGTTTGTGTTTATAGCGACTGAAGAGCGCTGGCGTATTATAAAGCTGCTAATTAAACAAACTCACGCTGCTCAAACTCTGTATTACACACACATTCACCAAAATGTCCCTCGAGCCAATTATGATGGAAAACATTCAGAGTCGACAGATTCAAAGAGTCAATTCCAAACATTTCCAAACAATCAATCAGATACGTGCCCTGTGAATTCATTTGCCACTCTAGAGGACTCATGTAGCTATAGAGTTTGAATATACGATGCTGGCTATCTGCTAATATTAGCTGGTAAACTTGCTAGCTAGCTAGCCGTTTCTAGTTACATATGCCATGGCGGCCTGCACTCTCATTTGTTGCTAAGCTACTTCTATGCCCCTTCGGCAGCAGTCAGTTTTCTGACATTGACATGGTGTCAAATACAGGGAAAGACATCAGCAGATAGCTCATTTCTGTTTGCAGCAACTTGGTGATGATGCTCATTACAGGCATGCACAGTGTCACCCATATAGTCAGTTATATTAGACGTTATGTTAAAGATCCAAATGATTAATTGACAGTAAAAGCAGAAATACAATTTTTTTTAGTGCTTGTCCAAAACAAACTAGGGAAATCTATCACAATGTCAGAGGATATCATTACAGTCTACATTTTTAGCGTATTCTTTTGCTCTGAAATACAATGATTAGCCTCAATAGTGAGAAGTGTGAGCAACAGCAGAATAATCCAGGTGCTGAACCAGCAGAATGAATCTGGATTAAATTGAACTCTGTCCTCAAAAAAGGAACTGAATCACTAAAATGTAAATATGTGGAAAAGTAAATACTCAGAACAAATATGATTTTAAATCAAATCATCAAATATCATCATTGAGTGTATAAATTTTAAGTGTTTTAAGTTTTTAATTATTTAAGTGTTTTAAAAGTGTTGAATTTGATTTCAGACCACCTGTCAAATCTGTAACCTGTAGTCATTGACCTTTCCCATCACATCATCTTGTTTACATAAAGAACAAATAGGCTGCTTCTTAATGAACACACGCTCTATAAAGTAATTCCGGCCTGTGTGATGTCCTTGTATGATTATTTATACAGTTACTATTAGAATTCGCACTGTCGCCCTCTTGTGTTCTTTCCTTAGTGTGAAATTTTTCAACATAGTTTGTCAAAGTATTCCCCAGAGCTACATTTGTCCTAAAAGCAGTGCATTAGGCTACATACAACTGCACATTTCTGAAGGGTGAGAGAGAGAAAAATACTACAGTTAAGTTGTCAACATCAAAAGAGGGAACTCTGAAGAGGAAATCTCTGTTTCTGGCAGCAGTCTGTCAACATTTTGACTCAGTATCTTATATTAACTGCTTATTTTCTGAAAGGATTGGCTTGTTATGTCAAAGGAATTACTTATTTTCTTGAAGTATTGACTTAATATCTCAGAATAATGTGTTATTATTGTTATTTATTCATTATTTAAAGATCAAAATTTTGACATTCTGTGGCCAAGAACAGAGATGCACCAAACAGCCACTTCATTAAGCACACCTCCTTGTTTCTACATTGTCCATTATATCAGCTCCGCTTACCATATAGGTCCATCTGTTTCTCTGCATACTTTGTTAGCCCCCTTTCACCCTGTTCTTCATTGGTCAGGACCCCCATGGACCCATGGTGATGAATCATTCTCAGCATTGCAGTAACAGTGACGTGGAGGTGGTGTGTTAGCATGTGTTGTGCTGGTACAAGTGGATCAGACACAGCAGTGCTGCTGGAGTTTTAAACACTGTGTCCACTCACTGTCCACTCTATTAGACACTCCTACCTTGTTGGTCCACCTTGTAGATGTAAAGTCAGAGACAGTAGCTCATCTGCTGCTGCACAGTTTGTGTTGGTCATCCTCTCAGTGTTCACAGGACGCTGTTGGCTGGATATTTTTGGTTGGTGGACTATTCTCAGTCCAGCAGTGACAGTGAGGTGTTTAAAAACAATGCTATGTCTGATCCACTCCTACAAGCACAACACACACCAACACACCACCATGTCAGTGTTACTGCAGTGCTGAGAACGATCCACCATTCAAATTATACTTGTTCTGTGGTGGTGCTGTGGTGGGTGAAAGGTGGCTAACAAAGTATGCAGAGAAACAGATGGACCACAGTCTGTAATTGTAGAGCTACAAAGTGCTCCCGTATGGTAAGTGGAGCTGATAAAATGGACAAAGTGTGTAGATACAAAGATACTTAATGAAGTGGCCAGTTGGTGTATGTCAGAAATGTCAGAAAGGGCTTCCATAGTTTAGTTCCCTCTTCTGATGTTGACTGCTTAGCTGAATAGTATTTTTCTCCCTCTCACCCTTCAGGATTGTGCAGTTGTATGTAACCTGATACACTGCACAAATATAGCTCTAGGGAACCCTGACAAACTCTGCTGAAAAACTTCACAATAAGGAAAAGGCAGTGATGAAAAAAGACAAGGTTTCTACAACCTTGTATAAACAAGACCTCGAACAGACTCTTCACGACAGGGAAAAAATGCACTGTATCTGACAGATAAACACCACCTGCCTCTACGACCCAACTGAAGAATTGCAAACAGTAGGTAGAGATGGAAATTCGTGGGAAGATGGTTTGGAGGGAGGAGGAACTTCAGGCATGTCTTATCCAAACGTCATTTAATTGTTTGGCCTTTTTCAAAAACTTTGAGTTTTACTTAATCCACTGTCTAAATAACCATCAGACTGCTTGACGACTAACATAATGGATAGTGACAGTCCTACTATAGAGTAGATGCACCTAACGCAATAGCTGCTGAGTGTAGGCAGTACCTGCTCTTAACCAGTTTTTCCTTTCCTTCACCGCTGGAATGATAGATTCTCTGACAGATAACTTGTTGCATGCCATTACAATGAGTGGAGGCAACATGAAAGGGCTGCATAAGCCAACACTGCTTGATGACGTGCTGTGGTTTCTTCATGCTCTGTGGTTTTCTCTTCAACAGCGAGGTGGCTCACACAGTCTCTCAGACATGTTTGCTCGTTCGACGGCCATATCAGATACATCATGAGCGAGTTACATTTCAGATCTGTTATGCATTCGAGTGCTTTCATGAAACTCAAATGAAACTGAACCAACATGGTTTATGGCATCGATATGCTATAGTTCAAAATATGTTTCGTAAGTAATCCTTTCATTAACTGATGTATCACAAAATGTGCTTTTTTAACACCACTCACAGTCATACAATAAAGCCCAATTTTGAAAAGTGTATGTGAAAGTAGCAGTGAAAAATATAAAACCAGCTAATATCAGGTAGGGGTGGGCAATATGGCAAAAATATAACATTACCCATCAGTTTAGTCTATGTGACGCACAGGTATGTGGCATATATCCACTAGGATGTGTGTACACTGGAAGTAAACTCCCCCCTATTTCTCACCAAGCTAGCTGATGAACATTCTACGAATGCAAGAACAACTGTTAGGAAAACTACTGCCTTACAAAAATAAGAGTTTTTCAGTTGCCAACCTGGTTTTTATGGGGTAGAAAAGGTCAACAGCCATTTAGAATCTTGATAATCAACATTATGGCAAAATGCTCATCACACTCTATGAGTTAACACTAGCAATAGCTAGTTTGATTAGCCTTGTATGTTGTAACAAAATGTGCCCCATCATTAACATGAATATAAAATGATATGGCAGACCTTAATGTTTGAGATGCTAAATGAAACAAATTCACAATTATATCTGAAGTGAAATTATGTCATGAATGCAACATTAATGGGTTAGAGGCAGGCTAATTAGCTAGCTAGCTAAGTGTTTTAGTTGTGCTGCTATGTGTTGTTCAAGGCTAGCCACAGTATACAGTCTAGACTTCACCACTGATACTACCGTACTTGAAGACATTTTCAAGATAGTATACATTTAGTATATTTCAAGACACAGTATACATTTCGATATTTCTGAGGTTTGATAAGTTGGAAAACAAAGAAATGCACCAGTAGTGCCACATTTAAAGACACCATCAAAAACAGAGTGCAACAACATACTGCCCTGCATTAAACCCAGTCAAACCAGCCTGATTATGTTCTCTTTGTAATGAAATATGAAGCTAATGTTCTTGAAATACTTTAAATTTACGGTGTCCTCAGAAAAGTGTATTGTGAAATATTTCCCATCCCTAGGCTGGCCTTTCCTATTATGCCACTGAATGGCCACTTCATTAAATACACCTGCTTATATTTGCCCTCTGTCCACTTTATCAGGTATTATTTGGGTTGTGGATCATTCTCAGCACCGCAGACACTGATGTGCTGGTGGTGCGATAGTGTGCGTTGTGCTGGTACGAATGGATCAGACACGGCAGTGCTGCTGGAGTTTTTAAAGTGTCTACTCACTGTCCACTCTATTAGACACTCCTACCTTGTCAGTCCATCTTGTTGATGTAAAGTCAGAGACGGTAGCTCATCTGTTGCTGCAGTTTATGTTGGTCATCGTCTAGTCCTTTATCAGTGGTCACAGGACACTGGCTGGATATTGTTGGTTGGTGGACTATTCTCAGTCCAGCAGTGACACTGAGGTGTTTAAAAACTCCAGCAGCACTGCTGTGTCTGATCCACTCGTACCAGCACAACACACACTAACACACCACCACCATATCAGTGTTATTGCAGTGCTGAGAATGATCCCTGAAATAATACCTGCTCTGTGGTGGTCCTGACCATTAAAGAACAGGGTGAAAGGGGGCTAACAAAGTATGCAACGAAACAGATGGACTGCAGTCTGTAATTGTAGAACTATAAAGTGCTTCTATATTGTAAGTGGACACACACAGATTTGTGCTTCTTCTAATCACAGCACTTGGTCTAGAGCAGGTTTAAAAGAACATTCACCTATTTCACGTTTCAGAGAAAAGCTCACTTCTAAGATTTCATTCACCTTGACTCAGAGTTTAGAACTAGTTATTAAATAAGACGACTTCTTCCGTAGCACTGATTTTCCCAGATATTACTTATCTGAACAATGGGCTCTCTGCCACACTACATGAGCGAGGTGAGCAAAACACATCTCTGAAGTCTTGATTGCTTCATTCATTCCATTCACTCATACCACTGGATTTCCTGCACCAGGAATAAGCCCATGCTGAGGTTGTCCTTTGTCGTATAAATAAGTATTATTAAAGACAAAAAATAAAAAAAAATAAAAAAATATCTGACATTAGTCAACCAGCAGTGAACAGTGGGTGCTCTTTTTGTAAGCCTGCCATTCTGTCACATTTCAGTGTCCCAGTTTCTAACCAAAACCCCCCCACCCCCACCCCACTCCCAAAAAAGGACTCCCATGAAGACAACACATTAAAATAAAATCCTTTGTAAAAGTATACATGATTTTAATAAAATACACAATTATAGCCATAATATACAATAAACTGCATTAATACATCTGAGATCATGACACATCAAAACAAAGATAAAAGAGAAAATCTACAGAAGAGCACTTATTCAGTGTGGAAAAGAAGAAGAAGGGACAACAGGGATGGAAAAATGTACAGAGCAGTTCAAAAACAGTACTTTGATGTTCGGCGAGATGGCCTTTGTTAAGATGTGATTATGGTCATTATAGCACAGGCAATAGCTGCTCATACGTTTTAAACCTGAGTCTGAATCACTGTGAAACAACAAAGCTTTCTTCTGTCACAGTTGGGCATCCACAAGCCATTTTTAGGCTCTATGGTGATAAGTACTACATACAGCAAAGTAAAGCAGGTCATCTCCTACAGTGCCAACTTGTGCATCTAAAATAATTAGCCAGACTGCTCAGAGCTCTGCAGAGGCTCTAATAAAACAATCACCATATAAATAAAGGACTGAGGATTAGATAAGCCATGTTCATCACAGGAGACCATGATCATGCAGTACATGGAAAAGCAGGTTCAATTCATTCAGCTAGTCCACATAATGCAAGATCATTTCTCTCTTTTGGCAGTTTTATTTAAATGCAACACCGTTTAAAAAAAAACAAATTACAATTACTTAAAAAAATGTTGGTAGGTTTTCTTAGATCTGCAGTTAAGCCTTCTACTGGCCATCATGGTAATCCTAGCGATCTCGACGGTCATCGTAGTGGTCACGGCGATAATTGCGACGGTCATCATAGCGATCGTCGTACTGATCGCGGCGATCATTTCGCTGGTCGTCGTACCGATCGCTGCGCCGGTCGTCATAGCGGTCGCTCCGGCGATCGTCATAGCGGTCGTCTCGGCGGTCATCGTAGCGGTCGTTTAGCCGGTCATTGGACCTCGTCCTGCGATCGTCGTAATCATCTCGCCGATCAGAGTAGCGATCGCTACGGTGGTCGTAGTCTTGCCCGCTACGGTCTTCATACTGGTCACGTTGGTTTGAACTCCTCTCAGGTTTGCTCTCGACACGCTCATCTTGATGTTCTTCAATCTCATGAGGCTCTCTGTCTGTATATTCGGCATTTGCTGGAAGCCTGAACACAATAGGATAAAACATTAGCAGACCCATTTAAGAACTGCTAGAAAAAATGATCTGAGAGGAAAAACAACAACAAAAAAATATATATAAAATAAAATAAAAAAAAATTAAAAAAAGGCTTTAGAGCATGATTTCCTTGCCACAGATTAAAACTAAACCTGTTGTTGAGAATAAAAGGTGCCAAAAGGATTTTTTGAAGTGATGCCACTGAACAGTGGTTCCCAATCCTGGTTCTGGGGTACCTCTGTTCTGCAAATTTTACATGTTTTCCCTGCTCTCCCACACACCTACTTTAATACAGGAAGGTCTTGTTAAATATAGAAAGTCAGTTGGATCAGGTGTGTTGGGAACAAGGAAAACACAAAAATATCCAGTGCAGGGGTCCTCCAGGACATGGATTGGGAACTAAAGCTATAGAAGAACCACTTTTGGTTCCTTGAAAAACCTTTCAAAAACGGTCAGTTCCTTAAAAAGCCATTTTTGTAAATGTGATTAAATATTTAAAGTGCATCCATGTAACAAAAAGGTACTAGTGCTGCAATGATTATTTTACAATATTACAAAAAACAAACAAAAAAAAACCCAAACAAACAAAAAAATTAAAATTGCTTCAATGTTACCAGTTTTACTTGTTGCCTATTTTAAGGTGGCCTTTTTAAAAGCACACATTTGCGCATTAGTTTTTATTAGTCTAATGGGAAACAACTTTGTTTCTGAAGCTAAATGCTACTAAGTCAACAATAGTGCGCAGTGGCAGTAAATCTAAAAAGAGCAACATAATCTGCCATGTAATAACATTTTATTAACATTAACATTTTTCATTGAGTACAATGGTCCTTTATCCATCAGAGCCATCGCGATGTCTCTATAGTAGGCCAGGTCGTCAGGACTCCGTTTCCGTATTGTAACCAAATGTATTAGAGCCCTAATTTGAGGTGATCATGTTGGTGTTAAATCACCTGGTGCAGTCCAAAAGCTTTTCCTACTGCCCTGGATTAACAGCTAGCTGCTCTCCACTGTAATTTCACATGAGATTCCATCTCTCCAGAGCAGAAAGACCCCTATTAAAACTGCACTGGGACTTGACTAATATAGAGAACTTTAGTGCCCGCTCGGGTATAAAGCAGTTTTTGAGTGGCTTATAAAGTCATATAGAACCTGTAGCATCACACCCCCATTGATTGCTAAAAAAACAGTTGACCAAAAAGTTTTCACTTTTTAAAAACAGTGTGGTTAAAAGACACTGTTTCCTCTACTGCCCTGCACTGCTCACCACTGAAACTTTGAAACTGTCTCAGCAACCTGGTCAGGGCTGCCAGATTGGGCACGATCAACCAGAATACTATTTTATGCTACTTGCTATGGCAAATGTTTTATCAATAATGTTTTTCCATTACCTTATATCATTTCAAGTTTCATTACTACATATTTTTATTATTATTACTACTATTATTATTATTATTACTATCATCATCATCATCATCATCATCCCACACAATATTCGAAAATCAAAATATTTGACAGTTGCAGCCCTACCTGATACCAATGGAAAGGTTTTGAAGAACAATTTGGTACCTTTATTTTTAAGAGTATAGACTAATACCTTGTATTGCACTGGTCTAACCTTAAAAGAGGATGCAGTTTTTACAGAGGAGGGAAAAAAAGAAGGAAAAAACAAAAAAAGAAGTCATGTCTACCCCATGTCATACTCCTCTGACTTGTCCTTGTCCTTACGGCGGCAGCAGCAGCAAATAACGACCACCAGGATGAGAAGAACAGCCAGAACACCGCCGATTATTCCTGCTGTAGATGCGATGTTCATAGAGGCTGAGGAACAGAACAGCAGACAACAGAAAAAAGGAATAACTAAACAAAGAATAACAGAAAAAAGGGGTGGCATACTAGGGTATAGTAGAAGAAAATAGGTGTAAAGACGGGGAGTGAAAAAAAAAATTCTTACGCGGCATGACGGCCAAGGTCAGGTTACAGGTCTGTGAGCGAATTTTATTGGCTGATGTGCAGATATAGTAACCACTTGTGTCCACTGAGATATTGTAAAGTGACAAAACCCCATTCACTATAACAGAGAAATACAAACAGGTGATGATAAATAATGGAATGGGAAGAAATACATTTCAGAGACATAATCCCTAGAAGGCTTAGGTGGAGGTTTGTGACTGAGAATCACTGAAGGACTGGACATGTAAATGTATAGGAAAATGGCTAGAGCCACACATACCATCAGTGGACTTGGGAGGACTGGGTCGTGGAGCATTGTTGACATCAAAGTTTGTCCATTTATATGTAGGTGTTGGGGTGCCCTCCTCCGATTTACAGGTCAGGCTGATGTTCTGGAAATACTCAGCTTTGCCTTCAATCCTGCAGATGGGTTTGGAAGGAGCCACTGTTAAATAGGAGGATAACATTTAGCCAGTGTTGCCATTTGGGGGGACTTGATGCAAGTCTGTTACACATCTGGGTCTTAGTTCACATGCTTAAAATATGAAGAACATCATGTGACACTGTAGTCCAACTACATAAAATCTAACATCAAGTGCCAGTTACACTTTAGGCTGCACTCTTCCACAGACACATTCAACTCTTTCACTGTGGAGCACATTACATTTCTCAATCATTGAGATATAAACAGTGTCACTCAGAGTGGTTTGATGCGAATGGTTCATCGTAAAGAAGCTTACCAGCTAGGATTTCTTCAGAGTGGAGGTGACAGAAACCCATCACAATATCTAATATCTTTCCATGAAAACGCTTTTAAAGGTGTTAAGCGCTGCAGACGTCTGGTTCCCATCACCACCACTCTGAACAATTCTAACTTCTCTTGAACAGAGCATTTCACATGAAGCCACTCCGAATGACTTAATGATTTAATTACACAGAAACTTTAAAAACATTGCAGAATCCCATTGTAAGTCCATTTTTTAAGGGCAGCTTAGCATAGGCTGACCCTTTGCCACCCACTGGTAAGTCATTACAACGCCCTTGGTCACATTACCAGACCTGCCAATCTTGGGAAAATATTTAAGTAGCACAATAGTGTAAAGTTTAGTTCACATGCTTTCGCACCACTTCGCTTCGCATACGACAGTCATTCTCCTACTTACCACCATATCATCAACTTTAGTTATTCAACGGCTATGAAGAAAACAATACAATCGTATGTTCTTGAGAAGAACTCTTATGAAAAGACATTTACATGTAGGAAAAGACAGCCGTTTGTGGCCATGTGTGAACTACGTGACGTCAGTTCGTGGTTTTTGATCGGAAGGGAGCATTTTCACATATATTTACCTCGAGTTATTTATACATCCTATAAACAACTGAGAATCACTAAGGTCAGCGTGCTCATCTGACATCATGTTTATTTTAACTGCAAGTGCACACCTCCTGGTAGCTTTCCAGGTGACGTTATTTCTGTGGCACGTGGACTCAGTTAAGTCACATTTAACAATCCACAACACACGGGCAACATAACAAAGTTACCATGTCAACTTAAATGTCTGGTGAACAAGCAAGCTAGTTTGCAAATTAAAGTAAGTTTGCAAAATCAACGTATGGTTTGTTCCATCGCTGCGGCAGAAGTAGGGAAAAATTGAACTCTTGATGGATTGTTGCACTCACTGCTGTGATCTGCGGACCACTGACACTGGCGGTGGCAGAATTTTCAGGTTTGCAGTCGCCCATCTACCGCAAACATGTGAACGCAGCTTTGGACTTGAGTACCACGCATGCACAACTGAACTCATAGGGCCCCTAAGTGATCCCTCTACAATGTATAAAATAACTTGCATGGTTGGATATGCTGCATAAGATTCTGGCTGTATTTTATTAAAGAACCTCTGAAATGCCAAAAAATTAAACCAAGTAAATTGAGGAGTAATCTTTTGCTCTTTCCACCAATATGTTAAATTTCACAGACAAATTGTGAGTTGTAATTGGGCATTAAAATGTACAGATGTATGTTCACTGTAGAGGATGAGTTCCTATATTCACTAAGAAAATCAACAAACCTTTGCATACGACTATACATGTACTTTATTGATCTGAGAGGATATTTTGGAATCAGTTTTTACTCATTTGGAGTTAACAGGCCTAGTCTGGAAGCTTCAATCCCATTAAAATTCCAATGTACTGATATTACTGTACAGAAATACATCTTCTTATACCATAAGAATTACTTCACAGTACATTTCTGTGCTTTTAAGCTAGTCTGAAACCTGAGGGTCCAGCAAAGTACTACTGCAACAGCTTCAGGTCTCACCTCACCATCAAGTGAGAATATGTAGAGTAACACTTATTTTGCAGTAAGTCATTTTTACCAAAAAGATGACAATTCACTCTTTGTTCCATCACTTACCCAAAACCACAATCTTAGTGGTGTCTGAAGGTTTTCCTGTCTTGTCACCAGGAATGCTGACTTTACACTGAAACACTCTTGTCTCCTTTGATGTTACTGAACTGAGCTGCAAGTCTGCTATTCCTTTAGTGAAGTCATACTGCAAAGATGCCCTTCCCTGATACCCCTCTCCTACATCAATAGAGGGAACAGCATTTGTAGGGAAAAATCCAGATAGGACTACAATCTGTGGGATAGAACATGAGTAAGAGACGCATGGACAACGTATGAAAATCAAGATACAGACAGTAAACTTTGTGTTAAGACAGTATACTTCACTACACAGTGACAAAAATATTGGTTTATTGGAGCAGCACAAGAAATGAACGATGTGGATCTGGTCCCTTACTTCTGGATCACTCTCATCATCTGGGTGAGCTGCCCAGTCGATAGTGACTGCTTTGATGTCTGTTTTTGTCGTTTTGAAGAAGCAGGGTATAGTAACGTTGTCACCTCGGGCAATTTCATAGGTTGAGAGTGGGATGTCAACGGTTATAGCCCAAGTCTTGAAAATCACTGTTTGGGGGGGGAGACGATACAAAAATCAGCCTATTGACCATTTCCAACTTAATTAGCTTACATATTCTTGATTAATAAAACAGCTGCAGAGAAAGAAGAATGCTTGGTTTAATTATAACTCAAATCAAGAAAGAGACCTCTGAACACCAGACTGGGCTAGTAAACGTCCAAAGGCTTCAGGGCGAGCAACATGCAGAAAATTACGACTAGAGCTGGGCGTCGATCCCAAATAAATACATACATAAATAAATAGAGGTGTTGATTCTGCGATTCCAGACAGTTAGGAATCGAGAGTCGACTCCAAAACTTAGGACTCAATTTCACACAGTGAGGTTCAAGCTTGCCCGCATGCGCACACAGAGTGAGAAAAATTCTTCTGTCACTGTCGAGATAGACTGTCTAAACAATGTGTCCTAGAATCAACACATTAATAGACTTCTGTCTTTTACTGCTGATAAAATGGGAAACAAAATTTAAGCAAAAGTGGCTTACAATCAATCACAGTTGCCAGTAATATGCATTATTTAGCTTTCAGTAAAACCTTAATCTACCTATTAACTAATCGACCAAAATGGCATTATGTTTGTTTTTTATTAGTCAAATTAGTAGTTTTCTTGGATGAATTTCCAGACATCAACCAGTCATCAAACAAAAGCAGGCACAAGTCAAAAATCAGAAGAACTGATGAGGCACACTTGGAAACATGGCTAAGAATGAACTATGTGAAAACTGCCAAGAACAAAACCAGTGACAAGATAACACAACAAGCAGCAGGTCTGGAGATAATGAGGAGGAGCTGGAATGTTCCGAGGAGATCCAGATTTTTAGGTTTCCAGCTACAACGTCAAAAGACCCATCAATTGTTTTAAATGAATGAATGTAACTGGCTCTTCACTGTGAGTCGGCTCCCACTGCTCACCTACAATCAAAGAGCCGACTTGTTTGCGAATGACTCATTTCTAGTTGCCAGTGCTGAAACCCGCCCAAAGGAGCTGACAGAGGAGACTCGTGAAAAACAGTTTTAGTTTAGCTAGTTAGCTATTAGAGCTGGGCAATATAGCAAAAAGAGTTTTACAATACACAATAAGTCACAATATTTCTGTTTTCTGATATCCGGTAAGTTGGAACAGTCAAAATAGTTCCACAGTTTAAAAAAATACTATCAAAAACTATGAATGCAATGGTTTGTGTTCAACATTTCACATTCTAAGAAGCACTAAATCCAGTTAAACAGGACTAATTATGCTCTCTTTGTAATCATACATGCAGCTGGGAAGTGTTAAGTACTGACGATATCCACAATATGCTCAGAGAGGCATATCGTGACACAATATACAACTATAATGATAACTGTCATATTGCCCAACTCAAAAATCGATCATCCAGTTAACTCTTGTTCTTCAAACCGCCTTGCTTAGATTTAATAGCGGGGTGGTGAACTGCAGTCCTGGAGGGCCAGTGTCCAGCACAGTTTGGCAATTTCCCTGCTCTTAACACACCAACTCACCCTGGCAATTAGTTGCTGAGCTGAATTAGGCGTGTCCGAGTAGAAAATCCACCAAACTGTCCAGGACTCTGACCCTCCAGGCCTGGAGTTCACCATGCCTGACCTAACTGGTCATACATCTTGTGTCCCTGAGGAACAACAGAGGTAGGGCAAATGAAGTTTTGTCAAAACCTTTTGTAGTTTATAACAAATTATTACGGTTTGCTAAGAACTTAAATAAGTGCTGGGCTTTTTATTTGTAACTTTCTGGAATCGAGAATCGAACGTGTGGAATCGATTCCATCACTCGAACTGGAGTCGACTCAAGGATTTCTAGAAACGAACAGATCAGTATCAACGAATGCTACGATTAAGTCTCTTTGGGCAAAAAAAAAAAATAAAAAAATAAAAAAATCCAAAAAAATGTTAATCTTTCATAATTTCCGTAGCGACAGAAGAGCACAACAGGTACCCTCTGAACCAAAACGGTGACAAACTCAGACAAAGCCGCTGTAATGTTAACCGCTTGGAACGGGGCGTTGGCTCCCAACCGTCCGCCATTCAAGCGTTCAAGCCGAGTGGTAAACAGCAGTGGACATTTACACGGTTCTGCGAGTTAGTTTTCTGGCTTTTATGGACTTTAAGGTCACTGGAAGCTATTTTTCGGTTTGCCCGTATGTGTGTTCACAACGTTGTCCTTTTATTTAACGTGTTTTTAAATTAACATCTCACCAATTAGCGGTAAATTAACATTACCCTCCTGTACACAGTTAAGGTTATATTCTAATCCTGTAAGCATAAGCTAATCTATGCAGTTTCCACAGAAAAAAAATGTTTGGGGAAAAAAAAAAAAAAAATCAGATTTGAAAAAAACGTTTTCCTTTTTTATCAATGTTAGGCCATTACAGATCACATTTGGCATTTGAATTTGACTGATTTAATGAAAGCTAACGTCAAACAACGCTATACAGAAACAAGCTAGCCTTACCTAATGTTAGATAGCCAATATAACGAACGTAGACTTAATCCACCAATTTAGAGCTGCTTACAGTTTAAAGCAAACGGGCGAGTCTGACTTAGCTACTGTGTAGGTCTGTGTGATTAATGATGACACCATAAACTGCCTAGCTATGTACTACCTGATGCTCTTGTTTAACGCTGCCAATGATGTACAGTTTAGCAGTAATATAAGTAATAATACAAGCCTGACTCACCCACAGAAAACAGAAACACTGCGAAAGTCGCCTTGGCCATTGCAGTTTGCTGAAGTCGGTCGTTGGAGTGAGCAGCAAGATGAGGAACTGTTTCAGGTGAGCTCGGCTCTGTTCAGCAGGTGACAGAAACCGGGGAGACTTAACGAGGATCCGCCCAGTAATCAAGTTTCAGCTTGTCTGCACCAACTAGAGTTTCAGTAACATGCACACGCTAACCTGCCTAAGACACCGAGCAACCATTTCCTGTGAAAGACCACAGAGAACATGCAAGGCATCTCATTTTACCCAGTTAATATAAAACCTACCTGGTCTTTTACTCTCCTCTTTTTTACCAGAGGAAAGAAATATTCTAAACAAGATCTCCTCTTTATCCCATTTACTTCTCCTAGACGTAGTTAAGGGGAATTCCACAGATGTTTCCACATAATTAACTCATTAAGATGTAAGCAAAGGCATTCAGAGTGGTTGGATGTGAAATGCTCTGTTCTTGAGATACTTGGTGAACCAGAATTGCTCACAGTACCATCATCTGCATTACATATAAAAACTCGTGTGACACTTGTAGGTGTGCTGGTCCATTTGGGTAGTAAATAAAATGGCTATATTTTTGTTATATTATGCAGGAATTTTGAAAATTTTGTGGCATTTCCCTTCATGTCCAGCTCTTGAGAAACAACCTCTGGATTTTCTCACTGATCTGAACATGGTCTCACAGATGACTCGACTCTTTTGTGTCTGACTCAGCTCATCCCAGTCTTACTGAATAATATTTGCATAAGAAAAGTGTAAGATGTCATCATTTTCTTGTGTGTCTCTCTTCTACATTTCAGAAATCTTTCAGGTTTCTGTCAGCACAGAGGATTTTGTGTTTTTTTTTCAGAACGTGTTACAATTAAATGCTGGTATTCATCTCCTCTTTTCTGCTAACTGAGGTTTAGGAGAAGCACATAGTGTTACTGTAGTACATCATATTTGTTTTGACCAAGGAATTTGGTAAGACAACATTAAGCCTGTTCCTAAAGGAAAAATATGTGGCCCATATTGTAAAAAATAATATATTCTCCCATATTTTTAAACAAAAGAGTTTGATGTAGTATATTAAACGCTGTGAGTTTCAAAACATACCATTAATAAACACAAGATCTCAGACCAGCAAGCGTTTAGACTTTTCTTATAAAAGTATAATTCCAATCAGACAGAAAAAGAGTTTGAGACAATATTTTGAAAGCACTTAAAGCACATATATCCAGTGGTGGTTTATCAGAAATAGCAGAATTAAGTTTCACACTGCTTTCAAGTAGGACTTAACTATGTTTAAGAGAAGTAAGTGAGATTATTAAGAGATCTGATTTTGAATACTTCTTTCCTCTGTATTCTCATTTGGAGACACATTTAGAGTTGTGTTTAGACTGTAAGAATGTGAGGGCAGGAAGGAAGCAAGTGGGTTTCAGCCGCAGAAAACAAGGCGAGATTTGCATCAAAACTGGTTTGACCAGGGCTACGTAGAGAGGGAGGGCCCACACCACATACACGCACACAGACACATAATGTTATACTATCCTTACTGAACCAGGCATTACTGTAGCAAAATTCTAGAGTCCCTACAAAGAGACCAAAACAAAGTGAATACACACATACTTACCTACACATATTAAGGTTTAGCAGCAATATGTGGCCTACAACCTGTGAACTAAACACATGACTGAAATTTAAGCCTAAAACTCAAAATAAGTCATGTTTTGTCACTATTTTGTATAGGTTTTAGCTTTAACTCAGCTTTAGTATTAACTGTCCTTTAAGCACAGAAGTTACACTGTTTAGTAGCCTACTGTGAGTGTCACAAGTGAAGTTAACCCGTATGTTCAAAAACAGCGAAGCTACAAGTAGAAAGTTCGCTTTGGATGTGACTGAGAAGTGGACAGATCAGTTTATCAGGTTCCATAATTTGTTGCTAATGTTAACAGTATCATTAAAATGACAGGAGAACTGCGATCAGTGTTAAAGGTGTATTCATCAGCAGACTGTTCACCGCTGAGTGGCAGACTTGGTGCTTGCAAGATTTTGCCTGGAGAACCTTCACTATATTCTTCATTAGTTACAGGTAGGTGGTTAAGGTGGATTGTTTTCTTTGGCCAGGGGAGGGCAAGCGAGATGAGCTTAGTGACCTAATTATTACAAATCTCTGTATGGGGCCTTCATTGTCATATTTAGCACTTCAGGCATCTGAGAAAATGAGCTGGAAAGCTATTGATCTGGACTGTAAGTGTTTATTTCTGTCAAAAACACTAACAATAGAATAAATGCAAATACACTAATAATAATATTAATAATAATAATAATAATAATCATAATTTTCATTTATAGAGCACCTTTCATGCTGGTGGCAGCTCAGAATTCTTTACAGACAGATGATAACGGTAATAGAAGCTATAAGTATTAATTTAAAATCATATAACAATGACAGATTAAATGAAAAAAGGTGAATACCAAAGAGACACAGGATTTTAATTAAACGTTAAGTTAAAGTTAAGTTTTAAAAGTTTACAGCCTGATTGTCTAATAAAAGGTGAAATTGGGCCCCACAGTTTAGAAGAATAATAAACTAAAATAGGCCTCCACATATTTCCAGTATTTACCTTTTTTTTTTGCAGAAGGTCGGTATCTGCAGATCTAAGATCACATGCTGGAACATAAACAGACAGACACTCTGTGATGTAAGTGGTGCTTTAAGGTCATTTAGAACCTAAAAAGCCAGTAGCAGAACTTTAAAATCTAAGATACAGGCAGCCAGTTCAGTTCTTTGAAAATGGGATCTCTCTTGTTCGTTTTTGTTACGATCTGTGCTGCTGCGTGTTGTACGAGCTGTAGAGAATGGATTGCTCAAATGATAAAAAGCTACTTTAGTGGCATGCGCAGTAAAGCAGAGCTCAGAGTCTAAGATTACACCCAGGTTTTGTACATCAGGTTTGGTATGTTTGGTTCAGTATTTCAATTTTTTCATAATTTAGTTGTAGAAAATTTTCTGACATTCCCTGAAAAATATCTGACACACACCTAGTGAGCCTGTCAACAGAGTCTTGATTTTCACAAGGAATGGAAATGTGTAATTGCATGTGATCAGCATAGCTACGAAAACTGAACCTTGTGGGACTCCAGAAGAAATGTTACATTTTTTTGATGAATGATTTCCCAGTGAAATCAAGAACTGTCCATTCATTAAATATTATTTAAACCATTCTAAAACTGTGTCTGACAGGTCTACCCAGTATTCAAGATGGGGGATTAGAATCTGGTGATTAATGCTAATGCACTAAGATGCTTAACATATTGTGAAAAATAAAATATAAAATGTGCCATAACTTTTGCGCAGACCACCTTATGTTTTATTTTTCCCCCCAATATGTTAAATACAGCAAATAGTTTAAGGACTACAGTTAGTGCCCACAGCATGAATGACCTCAGGCTCAGGGCCGATGCACAAAATCCTTCTATTCTGGTCTTACTGGATCTTAATGCAGCTTTTGATATGCAAAATTTTGCAAAAGTTTGAACATTCCCTAGTCAAATCACACATTTGGTTGATTGAAGTGAAAATAAGTGAACACATCCTCTACAGGGAACAGACTTAACTATGGCGTTTTTCTGCACATCTCAGTGCACAATATTCAAAGTTTTGCTTACACCTGTATTGGTTTTATATACACTCTCAGAAATAAAGGTACTAAACTGTCACTGGGGCAGTACTCCTCTTGTCCTTGCGATGGGACCGTCAAGGGTACATCTAAGTACCTTTAGACAGGGAACATGTTTGTGCCATAATCCATTGAAATGATATTTTCTAAGTTGTATTAACTCCACACATCCCGTCTCATCTCCAGGCTTTTTGTTTCATTGTTCTGTTTTAAATATTCTGTTATGAAAAGGTACAAATCGGACTCTTCACCTGGGAAACATATTTAAGGTACACAATTAGACCCTAAAACCACTGTTGTACCTTTGAGGGAACATTTACACTCTTTGTACCTTGATGAAAAAAAAATTACCTTAACAAAATAGAAAAATATCTAAAAAGAAATTGACCTTTGAGAAGATACGCTATGAATAACGAACTGGTCATTTAAACAAAACATGATTAACATTATGTTGAACCTGATCTCGCTCTGTCTGTGAAGTTATTCTGTTTTTTCAAAACTTCCAAGTGTCCAGGCCCTATCTCGTACTATCGAAAACGCCAGCCACCAACAAACACTGTCAATCACAGCCAAAAATTTCTGTCAACAGTGAATTTTGCTATAAAGACAGAAAGAAAGGCATGCACATGGTTTCTGTTTATAAACACAATGCAGCAGTAATGCATAGGAAATAAAGAAATGTAGCACACAGTTCTGGACAGGGCTGGCTCTAGCCTTTTGGGGGCCTTAAGCAGGACCTCCCCCCGTCTTGCTGGCTGATATTCTGTAAAATTAGAGGCTAACTAATAACAATGACCACCAGTGGTCTCTGTCTAAATTATATTTAGCTGTCTAAATTATAGTGAAAGAAAAATAGTTCATCACTGCTACTCAAGAAATCCACCTTTTTCTTCTTCCTTCTTCTTCAGAGTGAAGAAGACTTGGCGTGAAGGTCCCACTACATTAAAAATCTTATCCAAAAGTCGTACTTGGAGTGAAAAGGTCTTCAAAGAACACCACTGGAGATACATTCGCATTACAAGGCTTACTGGTCACGTCTGAGTTTTGGCTTACATCTCATACCTCTCCCTTTAGCCTTCACATTCATGTTGGTAAGAGACCCATATCTGTCTTTAACGTGAACACACTGAGCCCTGAAATGGCTCACATGCACACATCTTAATCAGTAAAGTTATCTGTGTGTTTCATATGCGTCATGATCAACAACAATCACAAATGAACAAGCTTTAAAAGCCTTCATCACAAAGGTTATTTGATGTGAACATTTAATCTGTTCATGCTATCTACAAGTATGGACAGCTATGCAATGAATATTTAATTTACACCTATATGAGGCTGAGCAAGTGCTGAATACTCCCAAAGAGTAAAATCTTTCAAATGGCTTACTGAGCTTCAGCAAGTTTCAACAAGTTGTTGGCTACCTTTATTCCCACCTGCTGCTGTGGGCTAAACTTTCCCCTTAGTGTAGCTTTTGGATGTGTATTCCAATTCTTTAAATAAGTATAATGCTACATTTTTCCACAATCAGTAACAAACACTGAAAATACATCAAGCATTTGTCTCAGAACTCTTGGTTTAAAACTTGAGCAAAACAATGTACATTAGTTTTTAACTCCCTGGTCTTGGCTGTGGTGGCAAGTTTTTTTAGGGCTCAGTAGGGTTGCCAGGTGTACAATTTTGAGTCTCATTCTAAATGTGTTCCATTTGTTAAATTAGAAAAAGTATCATTCTAGCTCTCTTAAGTGTGCTCCTCCCTCTCTCTCTCTCTCTCTCTCTCTCTCTCTCTCTATAGCATGTCAGATTAGTATCTAGCACACCACCAATGGTGCCATTAATATTTGGAACTACTTACTACAGTAGTTTGTGGATTGACACACAGCCTACATGTAGGCACAGGCAAATTTTAGCTGTATTATGGTGGGAGAGGTAAAACAGGTAAATGAACCTGTTATTTTTCAATCATATCTCCTTTTAAAAAGCAATTATATATGGATTTTAATCTGTTTATGCATCTGTTAGCCTACAGAAAAGTGAATAAACAGGAGGCTATAATAGTTTTATTTGTTACACAAGGCCAGAACCAACAGTAGGCTGGAAAATGTATTTTAACCTGCAATGTTCTGTGAAGAAAAACTTAATTTTAAAGTATAATGTTCATTATAGAAAATATAAACAAAAAAAGAAAAGCTAAAAAAATAAACCAAAGATAATTATCGAACTGTTTTATAAAAAAAACAAAAAACCGCTGGACTGTGCAGTTTCGCCAGAGCATGAAATCTGACAACGCTGGGGCTCAGACACCACTCAAGTCAGGCACATGGCTTGGAATGTTTCCGGCCACACACCATGAGTTAATGGGGTCTGAGGAACAGAAGAGCAAACAACAGGAAAATTAAACAGAAGAAAGAACCAGACAAAAGGGGTGGGGCATGTAAATACAAAAATACAAACCCAAATTCCAAAAAAATTGAGACAGTATATGAAGTGGCAATAAAAAATAGAAAGCAGTGATTAGTAAAGTCAGTGATTAGTAAAGACACAATATTTGATGTTTTATCTTATGAACTTTGAATTTTTTTTTTGTAAATATACAGTCATTCCAAAAATGATGCCTGCAATACGTTCCAAAAAAGTTGGGCCAGTAGCATGTTTATCACTGTGTTACATCACCTTTCCTTTTAACAGCACTTAATAAACATATGGGGACTGAAACCACCAATTAATCCAGTTTTGAAAGCAAAATAAGACATTTTTTGTCATTTTTCAGTTATACAAGTCTTCTCTTGGGCAACCGTTTGGGGCCTTCGTTGTATTTTGCGCTTCATAGTATGCCACTTGTTTTCAGTGGGAGACAGGTGAATGGCAGGTCAATCTACCATTCACAATCTGATTTTACATCCAACCTGTTGTATCACATGCAGAATGTTTGTCATTGTCATGTTGAAATCAGCATGGATGTCCCTCAAAAAGAGAGCGTCTAAAAGGAAGCATGTTTCTCCAACGTGTGTTCAGCGTTAATGGAGCTTTCGCAGATGCGCAAGTTACCCACCAATACTAAGACAGACCCTGACTTTTGAACTTTACACTGATAACAATCTGGATGGTGCTGAAAAAGTTGGTTTGTCAGACCTCAGTATACGTTCCATCGTACATCAGTCCATTTCAGATGAGCTCAAGACCAGAAAAGTCAGCAGCATTTCTGGACATTGTTGATAGGGGTGCAACGATTATTCGACTTAGTCGACTAAAATCGACTAGCAAATTAGTTGGCAAGTAATTTAGTAGTCGATTAGTTGGTGGCGTCATTACGCGTCTTTCTCGCGCTCACTAGAAACGTTTTGACATTACCGCTTACTGGAGACTTAACAACAGCGCGATGGCAGCCTCAAGAACAAAATCCTCAAAAATGCGGGAGCTAAACTCAGAAAAAACGTTGTCAGTTGTACTTTTTGTAAAGCCGACCTTGGCTGGCACGGGAGCACATCCTCCATGTTGGAGTGTCTGAAGAGGAAACTCTTCGGCTCACTGGATGAAGATTCATCTCGGTAAGATACGCCCCGTACCAAACCGCACACTAGCTCACTAAATAGTGTGTAAAAATAGCGCATATACCATTAGAGGTGCACTCATTAGTGTAGTGTGTGAAGTACAGGAGTGTGTGGTTCGGGACGCGGCGGTAGCTGTATTAGCGAGCTGGTTAGCTAATGTTAGTGTTAAATTCCGTCCTACTTCATGTTCTGAGCTGAGCTCTAACATTTCCTGTTTAATAGTGCAGGCTCTCTGGAATCGTTAACGGAGCTGGAGCAGAGGAGCAAGTAACTGTTATTCACAGCGACCCTGTTCACTTTCCAGAAAACGTTTACAGTTTTAAACACTGCATCGTCGTCTTAACGTCGAGGCCACCGGTGCGTTCAGGTTCGGCGAACACAGAAGAGCGATTACAAACAGTTTTCTGTTCTCCGCGAACGTCTGGCTCCACTCGCTGACAGTTTAAGGAGGTAGTTCTTCGTGAACACACAGGGCAGCTGGACGAAGGGTTCCCTCTGAAATTAAAAGTTTACACAAAATCGTTCAAATTTAACTGTTTATAGCGAAGTTTGCTACAAACGTTCGCCCCTTTCCCATCCGCTCCGTCAGAGCGCGTCTCCTCTGCCGCGGGGAGTATCCGCTCTCAGAGGAGAGCGAGACTCTCACAGGAGCACGGAGAGATACTGACCTTCCTCCGTTTCAATAAAGACCTGTGATTGTAAAATGTAGTTGCAGCAAAGTGTAGACAGACAGCAGAACGGACCGATCACAGACTGCACTGTTTAAATATAACATTTAAATTTAGATTGATTTTTTATTTACTTGATTAAAGAAAAAATGATTTAGTTATGTTATATTTTATTGCTGCTACTTTGCACATCCTTGGTAATACATTTTCTTGCATGGTATTCATCTTTATACTCTTCATTGTTTGTTTGCAAATGCCATTCAGTTGTGTTTCTTTGCCTTGCCCTTTAGACTAGATTTCCTGAGTCTTTCAATAAAATTATGCACTGTAGAGGGTAAAAATACCTAAAACCCTTGTAAACACTCGCTTTCCCTGTAATCATTAGCAATCAACTTAGGATCAGCCATTCGGAAGAAAAGGAAACTTTTTTATTTAGCCCTCTCATAATCTTATCAGCATTAAGCCATCCTGGTCAGCCTGCAACAGCCTGATTAACTTTTAATATGATTTTGGTGTGTTTTAGCTGTTGATAATAAATCATTCAAGAATGATTTATTATTCTTTTTGTTTATTTTATTATTGCCAAATTATTGTTTTACATAATCTATTACTTTATTTCATTAATTATGTTTTCATTTATTTTATCCTTATTTGATCAAAGTAGATTTACAAATCACAGCTTTCTGTTTTTAATGTGCATTTATATCAGCACTGCATACTGTCCCAACTTTTTTGGAATTGAGAATTGCAGATGAATACTGGGATATGGAAAAAAAAAAAACTTTTCAAAATAAACAAATTATAACAAAATTCTTACATGGTTTGAGGTCCAAAGTCATTATACAGGCTTGTGAGCCAACTTTATTGGTTGATGTGCAGACATAGTAACCAGTGTTCTCCATGGAGATATCGTAAAGTGACAAAACCCCATTCTCTGAAAAGAGATATAGAAACAGGACATAGTAAGTAGCAGCATGACAAACAGTAAAATCACTACTACTTGTTCGTAGACACATAATTGGACCCTGAAAATCACTGAACAAGGGGATACACATAACACATAGAAAGGCACACATACCATCGATGGACTTGGGAGGATTGGGTCGTGAAATATTTTTGAAATCAAAGCTAGGCCATCGATATGTAGGTGTTGGGTTGCCATCCTCTGAATAACAGGTCAGGTTGATGTTCTGAAAAACTTCAGCTTTCCCTTGGGATCTTGCAGATGGGTTTAGAAGGAGCCACTGTTAAATAAATGATAGATAAAAATAGCTAAAGGAGAACATTTACACAGCTAGGCCATGAACTGGCAAGACATTACAACCCTTTGTTTTTTCCTCTAAAGAACAATTTCTTTCAGCATATCTGAATGTTATCACTTCGATTTTGAACCGTGAAATTCTAATGTTCAGTTAACAGTGCCATTCTAGATCTGTTGTGCATTGTATAAAATTACTCACGTGGCTGAAAAATTATATGCTTATTAATTATGGTTGTAAGAAAGATCTATCAGCAAATTCAGTGTAATACTCTCTAAGCCAGTCATTTCAAGTTTTATCCGGAGGGGAACCCTCAGGGCTTTCTAGGCCTTTAGAGAAGTCCTAATGATTTTCTGGGAGCCAAAAATCCATTTTTAATTTATCTTTATTCAATAGAATCATGCTTGTATTTAAGCTCTATAAGTATGACAGTATGAATCTTGTTTCATTGTTAAGTTTTGAGTGGATACAAAAGGTTTAGGTTCCTGAAACATCCATCAGAAAATTGGCCAATCAGGAATTGTTTTTCTCCATGAAACCTAGGAAGATATAAGCAAGCTCTTCTGTAGGTTTGGACTTTCAAGAGCTGAAGAGCATTAATTTGTTTTTTTTTTACCTTTAGAATTACGAAGTGACAGAGAAATCAATCGCGTTTTAATTTCTGATGGATGGGAACAATTTTACAAGAAAAAAACATTAATCTAGGCCTTCTGGAAGATCTGGATACTGACTGTGAGAATGAGTGGCAGCCTGATCAGTAGGTTGTTAGAAACGTACAACAGCAGCAGTAGCTCTATGTCAGGACTCTCTACCGATACTGCTACAAGGTAAAATATATTCTAATATGTCTGTCACAAGTTTCAAATAAAACATGAAATGTCTTTTAGATGTTTCAGTAGTCGGTGTTTAATCTAGAACTGCCAAAAAAAGTTCAGGTGAATCTCCATTAACTTCCCTAACAAACTACTAAAATCCCACAGGGATGCTAGCAGAAGTTAGCATAGTTGTAGAAGTGTCTTTTTTCTCCTGATTTTTGATCAAATTTTGACTTTTGTGTTCTGAATTGAATGTCTAGCTCCAATAGTCACGGTTCGCCACTGGTTTTATTATTATAATCATGAACATGCAACAGGCATGAATACTATTATATTAGTGTTTAATGCAAAAACATCACGTACTAAGCAGCCTTTGTTCATCTGACAAAACAATATTGCTAATATACACTCGCTATGGGATTTATAGCATCTTTATGAAAAGTTATGTTAGTGCCAAGCTAGTGGTGTTTTACTGTGACTACTGCAATACTTAACATACAATAAGCATGAAGAGGCCAGCTCGCAAGACGGTTGTGCCATTTAGGACCTGTGTTAAACAGATTTTTTAAAATTCTTACGTGGTATTACATCCAAGAACACGTTACAGGTCTGTGAGCGAATTTTATTGGCTGATGTGCAGACATAGTAACCACTGCTGTCCTCTGAGATATTGTAAAGGGACAAAACCCCATTCACTAAATAGAGACATACAAACAAGGCATTTTATTTTCAAAAGGTTTAAATGCAAGTTTGGATGCTCTTTACATGTTTAGACACCCTAACCATGAACGTGTTTAGTGTCTCTGCTGAGTAGTAAGTTTAGTTTTTACAAAGCAACTTAAATTGCTGCTAAGTCTGTTTTTCCCAAAGTTGGCATAGGAGTATGTAACTTCAAAAGCTCTTTTACAAATAGTTCATTTCTACATCTCAGCTTGTCATCATCATAATTATTTCAGTGATGTGAAAATTAAGAAATTAAACAATGTAGGAGTTACTTCAACTTAAACAGCTCGTTTTTGCAACAGTATGATTAATGTCATGTTTACTTATGCTTTGTTTGTTAAGCGCAAAAAGAGTGTATTCAACTCCATGTATAATTTTGAACAACTGAGCTTCATAACTTAATTCATTTGAGCCAGTGAGTTACCTCTAAGAGTCTGAGAAAACTGAATTAGCTCATACTAAGGTTCCACAGTGAAAAAAACACAAAAAATGTAAAAACAACTAATTATTCAGACCTTAGATATTAATAAGGTCTATGTTACAGTCTAATTAAATCCAAGACATTAATTGAGATAGCATTAAGCTAAAGATACACAAAAGCTTAATTTTAAGGGCACTTTCTATTGGGAGGTGTCTGTCCCAAACCCCTACATTTCATCTAGTAAAAATACTTTGTTTTTGTTTTTTTTTTGCTGTTACCTACTCGCCCAGAGAGAGCACGGCCAATTGTGCTCTCTTGGACGCCCGGCCACAGATGGCTGTAGCATCACCAGGGATCGAACTTGCAATCTCCTGATGACAGGGGCAATGCTTAGATGGTTGCGCCATTCGGGAGCCCCTTATCATGCGAATTCTAAAATAAAAAATGTCACTACCAAAACACAAATCTTTAGGCCATAGGCAGAGCTTTATTTTAGCCATGCCCCTGCATTTTAGAGCAGAAAGTGAGACTGCATCCTCGTCCCTCATGTAGTAAAAATGTGCACAGATGAACTTAATTGGTATATAACCAAAACAGAACTGTTTAATGATGGTTTCAGAAGACATGTGTTGCAGCACAGGGGTGCATTGCATCCTGTGTATGGGGCTGCAGAGAGAGTGGTCACAGTGCCCATGCTAACCCCTGTCCACCATTGAAAGCTTAGACTGTATATGGTTAAAAGTGCCTACAATGCACCTAATACAAACTTCATATAAACACAATTTATTACTTCAAATATGCATGCATTCTTAACATCACGTGGTTGTAATTTTTCTTTCCTTTAGTGGTGCACACAATAGTGCCTTAAGTGTTAATAGCCCACCCTTGTGGAGAATCTTTAGCGTGCTGAATGTGGCTTTTTATTAACCCAGGTCAAAAATACCTTGATTATGATTCAAACTGCAAATTAATCTCTAAGCTGATTCACAACAAAGGTACATTTTTAACCTAAATATTTAAATGACTAATCCAGTTTAACTGACTGATTGTGACATCCCTTCTTTACACAGTATTATGTAAAGATGATACAGTTCACTCATTGTTCTGCCATCCTCCATGGCTTATCTTCTGCACTTACCCAAAACCACAACCTTAGTGGTGTCTGAAGGTTTTCCTGTCTTGTCACCAGGAATGCTGACTTTACACTGAAACACTCTTGTCTCCTTTGATGTTACTGAACTGAGCTGCAAGTCTGCTATTCCTTTAGTGAAGTCATACTGCAAAGATGCCCTTCCCTGATACCCCTCTCCTGCATCAATAGTGGGAAGAGCATTTGTAGGGAAAAATCCAGATAGGACTACAATCTGTGGGATAGAACATGAGTAAGAGACGCATGGACAACGTATGAAAATCAAGATACAGACAGTAAACTTTGTGTTAAGACAGTATACTTCACTACACAGTGACAAAAGTATTGGTTTATTGGAGCAGCACAAGAAATGAACGATGTGGATCTGGTCCCTTACTTCTGGATCACTGTCATCATCTGGGTAAGCTGTCCAGTCGATAGTGACTGCTTTGATGTCTGTTTTTGTCGTTTTGAAGAAGCAGGGTATAGTAACGTTGTCACCTCGGGTGACTTCATAGGTTGAGAGTGGGATGTCAACGGTTAAGCCCAAGTCTCAAAAATCACTGTTGGGGAGACAATACAAAAATCAGCCTATTGACCATTTCCACTTAATTAACTTACATATTCTTGATTAATAAAACAGCTGCAGAGAAAGAAGAATGCTTGGTTTAATTATAACTCAAATCAAGAAAGAGACCTCTGAACACCAGACGGGGCTAGTAAACGTCCAAAGGCTTCAGGGCGAGCAACAAGCAGAAAATTACGACTAGAGCTGGGCGTCGATCCCAAATAAATACATACATAAATAAATAGAGGTGTTGATTCTGCGATTCCAGACAGTTAGGAATCGAGAGTCGACTCCAAAGCTTAGGACTCAATTTCACACAGTGAGGTTCAAGCTTGCCCGCATGCGCACACAGAGTGAGAAAAATTCTTCTGTCACTGTCGAGATAGACTGTCTAAACAATGTGTCCTAGAATCAACACATTAATAGACTTCTGTCTTTTACTGCTGATAAAATGGGAAACAAAATTTAAGCAAAAGTGGCTTACAATCAATCACAGTTGCCAGTAGTGATGGGCGTTCTGGCTCTTTCTAATGAGTCAATTCAGTTGGTTCAGCTCACCAATAAGAGTCGGCTCGTTCGGCACTACATTCACTATCATTGTTGTTTTTTTTTGTTTTTTTTTGGTAGTCATGTCAGCAATATGCATTATTTAGCTTTCAGTAAAACCTTAATCTACCTATTAACTAATCGACCAAAATGGCATTATGTTTGTTTTTTATTAGTCAAATTAGTAGTTTTCTTGGATGAATTTCCAGACATCAACCAGTCATCAACAAACAAAAGCAGACACAAGTCAAAAATCAGAAGAACTGATGAGGCACACTTGGAAACATGGCTAAGAATGAACTATGTGAAAACTGCCAAGAACAAAACCAGTGACAAGTTAACACAACAAGCAGCAGGTCTGGAGATAATGAGGAGGAGCTGGAATGTTCCGAGGAGATCCAGATTTTTAGGTTTCCAGCTACAACGTCAAAAGACCCATCAATTGTTTTAAATGAATGAAATGAATGTAACTGGCTCTTCACTGTGAGTCGGCTCCCACTGCTCACCTACAAGAGTTGAATCAAAGAGCCGACTTGTTCGCGAATGACTCATTTCTAGTTGCCAGTGCTGAAACCCGCCCAAAGGAGCTGACAGAGGAGACTTGAGAAAAACATCTTGTGTCCCTGAGGAACAACAGAGGTAGGGCAAATGAAGTTTTGTCAAAACCTTTTGTAGTTTATAACAAATTATTACGGTTTGCTAAGAACTTAAATAAGTGCTGGGCTTTTTATTTGTAACTTTCTGGAATCGAGAATCGAACGTGTGGAATCGATTCCATCACTCGAACTGGAGTCGACTCCAGGATTTCTAGAAACGAACAGATCAGTATCAACGAATGCTACGATTAAGTCTCTTTGGGCAAAATCTAAAAAAATGTTAATCTTTCATAATTTTCGGTTTGCCCGTATGTGTGTTCACAACGTTGTCCTTTTATTTAACGTGTTTTTAAATTAACATCTCACCAATTAGCGGTAAAGTAACGTTACCCTCCTGTACACAGTTAAGGTTATATTCTAATCCTGTTAGCACAAGCTAACCTATGCAGTTTCCACAGAAAAAAAATGTTTGGGGAAAAAAAAAAAAATCAGATTTGAAAAAAACCTTTTCCTTTTTTATCAATGTTGGCCATAACAGATCACATTTGGCATTTGAATTTGACTGATTTAATTAAAGCTAACGTCAAACAACACAATACCGAAACAAGCTAGCCTTACCTAATGTTAGATAGCCAATATAACGAACGTAGACTTAATCCACCAATTTAGAGCTGCTTACAGTTTAAAGCAAACGGGCGAGTCTGACTTAGCTACTGTGTAGGTCTGTGTGATTAATGATGACACCATAAACCACAGACACATAATGTTATACTATCCTTACTGAACCAGGCATTACTGTAGCAAAATTCTAGAGTCCCTACAAAGAGACCAAAACAAAGTGAATACACACATACTTACCTACACATATTAAGGTTTAGCAGCAATATGTGGCCTACAACCTGTGAACTAAACACATGACTGAAATTTAAGCCTAAAACTCAAAATAAGTCATGTCTTGTCACTATTTTGTATAGGTTTTAGCTTTAACTCAGCTTTAGTATTAACTGTCCTTTAAGCACAGAAGTTACACTGTTTAGTAGCCTACTGTGAGTGTCACAAGTGAAGTTAACCCGTATGTTCAAAAACAGCGAAGCTGCAAGTAGAAAGTTCGCTCTGGTTGTGACTGAGAAGTGGACAGATCAGTTTATCAGGTTCCATAATTTGTTGCTAATGTTAACAGTATCATTAAAATGACAGGAGAACTGCGATCAGTGTTAAAGGTGTATTCATAAGCAGACTGTTCACCGCTGAGTGGCAGACTTGGTGCCTGCAAGATTTTGCCTGGAGAACCTTCACTATATTCTTCATTAGTTACAGGTAGGTGGTTAAGGTGGATTGTTTTCTTTGGCCAGGGGAGGGCAAGCGAGATGAGCTTAGTGACCTAATTATTACAAATCT